ACAGCTACATTTCTGCCCGGAGCCAGAACATCGGGCTGCAGGTTATGCCCAGGCCGGCCAAGGGCTTGGCGGACCCAGTGCCACATGGGCACTCTGGGAGCCCAGAACAACCCGGCAACCACACTGAGGCCCGGTATTTTTGCAGCCCGCTACCAGGCCACGGACCATAATTTGGGAAACACTGAGATATACCCATGAGCACAGCTACATTTCTGCCCGGAGCCAGAACATCGGGCTGCAGGTTATGCCCAGGCCGGCCAAGGGCTTGGCGGACCCAGTGCCACATGGGCACTCTGGGAGCCCAGAACAACCCGGCAACCACACTGAGGCCCGGTATTTTTGCAGCCCGCTACCAGGCCACGGACCATAATTTGGGAAACACTGAGATATACCCATGAGCTGACTTAAGAATTTTATAATGAGGTGGGCCATTTGTGTGCAAGGTTGACAGAATTGAAGAAAAACAAGATGTCAGCTGTCAATAAAGACCAAAATTGATTGGAACATGAGTATTAGTGTTTCTATCTTTTAACAAAGTTTGTATGTCAACATTGTTGCCTGTGTTTGTGACAGTCTCTAATAGGAGAGGTGCCAGTGACAGTCTTTGGCAAGTTTTGTTAAGAGTGATTTGTAGGAAGTCAGGACAAGGTGTATGCATTGGGGAAGATGCTCATCTGTCCAGTGATAATGGTGTTGGTTTTTTATAATAGTTATGATAGAAATCCCAGATTTGCAGAAGTACATTGATCTGAGCAACATTAAAAGGTAAAATGGCTATATTCTGGCTATACTGAAATTGGTCGGCATATTGAGTCCAGATATCACAAAGTCGCACTTCTCTGAATTTTGCCGTCAAGACAGCTGAACTCTGGGGTCTTACAACTTCTATTTGAAAGGCAACTTCATCAATTGAATCAAAAATGTTCTTTGTTTCAAAAGGGCAGGTCCATCGCTAGACACAACAGATGGATCACGAACAAATAAAATCAAGCCTTTTGGAGTTCTAAATCCTCAAATCACATTTTTAAATTATGATCTACTTGTTTGGGAATTCTTGCATTGGTTTCATCCAAGTTTCATCTGTAGCAACAACACACACAGTTTGCCTGAAAAGTTTTGAGATTCTTTTGAAAGGGGTGGGGTTTTTTTGTTTCAAGAAAGTCCCTGACAAATGGCTTTGGAGATGCAAGTTGAGAGCATTCAAGTGACCTGTAAAGAAAACTACCTATGATATAGAGGGAACATCATTTAGAAAACTTCAGGAACACTCAGACCTTATTGGTCTTGTAGCTATTTATTTTTGAACCGCATAAAACTTCTCTAATGCATGCTCTCTACTTCACCAGTGAACTTCATTTTGCTGCAACAGGTCAGTATATTTGACTGAAATGTCTTATGACTTGCAGCAACATCTTTTTAAAGATCTTTTGCAAGTTGAGCAGTTGTAGTTCAGTAATTTCGTCATAGTATCTATTGGGGTTTTTTCCAAGTCCCCAGACTACTTAACACACAGGACATTCCGGTGACCGATGCAGTGAAGTGGATCCCTGCCAAGTGCAAAGCCAAGCCTTTTTCTTTTTTTATCATAGGGAGACCTCTATCTAATAAGCAAGCTTGCTTTCTGAAGATCTGAACCATTTTTTTCCAAAATGGTCTTTTCTGTAGGCTTCTAATTGTATTAAGCATAAAAATTCTTCCTCAAATTTCACTGTCATAAAATCTAACGAATAGTAATAACTGGGCTCTTTCACTTAAGTTGCTTGATTTATCCACCGCAAGAGATGTTTATCTGGTGTTTTTTAAATCAGAAAGCAGTGATGACTGACAATCGTAAGTTTATCTCCAGTCTCCATATGACTATGGATTCAAGCAGGGCACTTCCATCACATGGTTCATAATGTCATCTTTGTTTTTATCTCTGGCAAAAAGCTCCTCTAGCATTTCTAACGTACACTCCTTCACAAGTTAGACATGCAGGAAGGACTTCCTCTTTTTAGCTAGTACCAACATTATCCGAAGAGAAGTAGCTGTTACTTTTCCTGTACAGTCATTAATGTGAGTGACATTTGAAGTGTGATACGAAAACTTCAGATTTTCAGTTTTGTCATGTCTTGCAACACTTCCAAAAACATAGAACGTGGTAAAGTTACTGTGCTTTCATTCGAAGTTGTGTCTCACATTGATGATTTTACAAATGGGTACAGTGGTTTGGCATATTAAACCAAAGGTTTTGCATCTAAATGAGGTGGCATAATAAGAAAATCCACTGTCCAGTTTAGGTTAAAAGCTTTGTTTTCAATTTTGCAACTTTTTGCAACATTTACTCCAGCTCTCACTCTTTTTAAACTCCTATTTCCATCACTAATGAAGAATAGATGGTAGCTTACATCAGTTGTAGCCAATGTTCTTGCAAGAACTGAAGATTCGGGAAGTGGTTCTTAATTTGTACAAGAGCTTACCCAGGGTAAGTAAGTTACTTACTAAGGAAGTCATAGGCAAATGTTTGAGAATTTAATTCTAAACATTTTAAGTTGAATTGATGGGTCACACAGGAAGTCCATAGGCTGCCTTCTCAGTATCACTATTGTACAGGATTGGAGTGGAGAAACACAAGGTTGGGCAAAGACATCCTATAGAGATGAATTTCTGAGAGAGGGGACTCTGTCTTCTAGGATCTCATAAAACTGGATCACTGGGGGTGTGTCTAGACTACATGGCTCCGTCAACGGAGCCATGTAGATGAGTGTACTCGTCAAAGGGAACTGAAGTGGCGATTTAAATAATCGCCACTTCATTTACATCAAAATGGCTGCCACGCTGTGCCGATCAGCTGATTGTCGGCACAGCCCAGTAGTCTAGACAGAGATGAGCCGACTCCAGATCCCTTTATCATCAGATCCTGTAAGCCTCATTTCACAACTTTATACACTCACTTAAAGATAAGCATTTGCTTAAATGCACAACTGACTTGGGAACTTTAACCAGGAACATGTGCTTGCTATCTTTCCATAGTAGCAGAGGTATCCTGGGCAGAAAACGTAATGACTAGCAGTGCTGATTATTACCACAGAGAAAGGATGGGCATTGTGATATTAGTTTGAGGAGTGTGTTCATAGGCTTTGCTTCATGTTGCAGGACCAGTCTGTTAGGCCAATGTCACTTTTCCATTTTTTTAAATTATTTTGTTTTATGGTCATAAAACATCTGAGAAATAGATAACTGTAGATAATTATAATGAATACATCCATTGCAAACAGGAAATAATCATGATTTAGAAAATACTCATTATTTCAAAGCGTTAGTTTGATGCTTTTTGGATCACTGTCTAAATTATTCCAGTTTTTCTGTACATTTAAATTAATTGTGAATGTACCTAAAATGTTTGGTGCTTATTAAAACAGAGTGTACTTATTGAATTGTTGTTGAAATATCACTACAACTTCTTTGGCTCTGGCTCTTAGCTGAGTAGTGTCTTCCTTTAGTTAGTTTCTCTCATCTCCTTTTGTGTGTGCATCATCATTGACATTAACAGTACAGACCCTGCATTTGTTTGCTACACTGTTAATGTAGTACTAAAATTGCTACATGAGTTATTTTTCAAGCAGATTTGTTACTGTTAAATGAATAGTGCATTTTAATGATTTTTTTATTTTATTTCAGGCTTTTAAAATAAACTCTTTCCTATGTGGATGAAATGTAGCACAGAATGGCTACTGATTTTAATAGTACAGAATTTATGAAGTGTTCCTTTTTCTTTTAGACACCCTTTCACCAGCATCAAGTCCCTCATCCATTAATGTTGCCACAGTTCCAAATAGCATAGATGAATCATCCAGTGGAGCATTAAACATTGAATGTAGAATTTGTGGGGATAAAGCTTCAGGCTTCCATTATGGAGTACATGCTTGTGAAGGTTGTAAGGTACAGTTGATTTTTTTAATGGCCTATGCCATGTTGTTTTATTTACAGGCTCATCTGAAGAAAAAACAGTTGCTTTGTAAATGCTTAATTAAAATCAGTCTAGCTGTAAAAATAAAATGTAATTTTAAGTAATACAGTCACTTGTGATCTTCTCAAGAAGTACTTTTGTCTGGCATCATAATTTGATACTAGAACTTCCTCAAGAAAAAGCAGTTGACAAGAACTAGTTATCTTTTGAGATTGAAATTAATTTAAAAGGGATTACAAAATTGCTCCATTAGTGTTTCATTTGTGTTGAGAATATGCTATGGGAGTCATGTGAATTTGATAATTTTCCATTATATTTCTCGTGAACAAATCATGAATGCTCATCATCACTCCATCCTACCTGAATGACTTTTAGTACAGTGTCTTCCTTATTAAATTTGGAGCCAGTATATGGTCTTGAAGGCAAACCTGCTTATCATTAGCCTTTGATAGATGACCATAAAGGTTTTATTTTTTTATTTTTTATGTCTAGTTTTGCATTTTGTCTACATCACATGACAGGATTTGAGAAAGTGAAGCAACTTTAAAACATTCACAAAATGTTACAGGAACTCAACCTTAATCTCTTGGGTTCAGATAATAAGGTTCAGATGTAGAATTTGGGGATTAATATTGTTGAATTGTTAGAATAATTTTAGTCTCAAACCTGAAGATTTGTAATCCTGCCAGCGGTAAGATAACTAGATCATGATCAAATGTGGTACTTCATGAATTGCTGGCACTGCAACATCTTGCTTCACATATCAAAAGTGTCTTATGACATAGCATTGAGTAGCAGTTTTTTAGTGTGACAGACCCAGACCAGCTGGCCACAGTAGCTTCTGAAGGGTAAATATAAAGGCAACTGGATAAATAGTTTTTTGTTCTGAGTGACCACAGCGGGGTCTGCTGGAGAGCAATCATATTAGACACCTGGAACCAATTAGGAGCCTGCTTAAAGCAAAAGAGAGTCTAATTAGCTCACCTACAGCCCATTAAGAACCATTCAGAGACTGCTTGAAAAAGCTTCCCTTCAGAGAAGGCTGGGGAGTTAAGGACTGGGAGTGAGGAAGTGTGCTGTGGAGGTACCAGGAAGAAGGTATTAGATACCAGGAAGAAGGTATTAGGAGGAGTTGGTTGGGACTCAGGGAAAAGCTGAAGCTTAGGAGGTAGAAAATTTATTATCTGACAGTGCCATTAGAGTCCCTGGGCTGGAACCTGGAGCAGAGGGCAGGCCTGGATTTCCCCCTTTTCCCCCCCCACCCTTCCCTGTACCACTATGGAGGTAATTCCCTAAAGAGGGAGTTTGGTACTAAAGAGGGATTCACCCCAAACCTGTTTGACTGGCTGAGCATGGCTAGGAAGGCTGTGACTTTTTCCTCTAGTGAAAGGCAAGAGGCTATGTGGAGGGTCACAGCGTGCCTCTGAGGCAAACGCTATTGACCCAGAAGTGAATGATCCCTGTGGCAAGGCCAGAGCTTTGTCACAGTAGAGATAGTATTTCATTGCAGTGTCGCTCAGAACAACTTACTAAGATCATTTTAGGCTTTTTCTCTGATGCTCATGTGCATGTCCTTCATTCATTCTGTACACTTTTGCACCGTCCTCCACCTCCCCAATTCTTTCTGCTGTTTAACATAGAAGATGTGTCACATCTATTGCAGGTGTGTGTGTGTGTGTGTGTGTGTGTGTGTGAATTTACGTGTATGGCAGAAGAGGATTCCCTCTGATGGGGAGAGGGTAACTGGGGAGGTATATACTAGAACAAGAGAATGCAGGGCAGAGTGCTTGGTGGTTGTTCACCTTGATCCTTAACGTAATATCAGAGCATCTTTTAAGGGCTATGTTGACCTCCCAGCCAGAAATGGAGCAGGAATTAGAAAGGGGGTTTAAGGTTACCTTCTCTACTTTGTCCCCATTCCTGTGGCACATCATACTTGTTTATCTAGATAAAATACTTAAAATATTTACCTTTAATTTTTCTTTGTTTCAACTGTGAATAAGACAATAAACAAAAGAGAAAACATAGCTGTAAGATGAATGTTTATTGGAAGACTTCTATTAGCTCACATTTTTTTTAACAATGTTTTAAATTTTTTTTCAGGGATTTTTTAGGAGAACAATTCGACTTAAACTCACCTATGATAAATGTGATCGTACCTGCAAAATTCAGAAAAAAAATCGTAACAAGTGCCAATACTGTCGTTTTCAAAAGTGCCTTTCAGTTGGAATGTCACATAATGGTAGGTAAGAATTCCCTTCATTTGTTCCCGGTTCCTGAAGCAGGCTTGTGAATTACTTTATTCAGATGAGTTGTTCCACAGTTACTCATGTGAGGAAGTGTTACGGGGCTGAGTCCCGAGTTTTTATAGCATATTAGAACGAGGCCCTAATCCTGTATTGAGAATGCATGTATGCTGGATTTTGTTCTCAGTACAGATCAAGGCCTTATTAATGGGATTTGTTTGTTTGCGTTCCACTTTTTTTGTCTGTTCTGGAGTGATTAGGGTTTAGGTGCATAGTGTCTGGACAAATTTTCAAGGACATTCTTCTGCTGCACGTGTGCTCGCACACACGCACACATATAAAGACTTTCTTTCAGAAATTAAGTGTAGAAGAGTCTGGTTGACTGGAAACGAGAAAAAAAATAGAAGGCTAGCTTAAGAATGCATGTTTGAGACTTCCCTGTAAAGTATAATTGAATTTGATCAACAAAATGAAAGGTCACTAAAAGCTTCACGTATTAGAGTTCATGCCTGTAATTGTCCTTAATATTATATGAAATATAGTGCATTTAGTAACTTTAGGTAGTACTAGATCTGAGTGTTCTAAATTATTTTTTGTGAGCTAGCTGTTTTTCACTTTCACAACAAGTGTATAATCATTAAATAAACATCTAGTTTGGTTTAGTCTCTTGCCAACAGCTATGACTAGAATAGGGAGCTTCTGCTGAAGGCAAACAGTTAGTGGTACATTGCCCTTTCCCCTCTGCAAACAGCAGAGTGCATTAATTCTGAACTACTGCAGTTACCAGTTTATGCTCTGAAGCATGACATTCGATTATCTTCACTGAAGATTGGCGATTTAATAATTAGGCAGTAATTATGTGGGATGTCTTATTTAATTCATGACTTTTTTGAGTCAGCAAGTTCTGCTTCTAGTCAAACTTTCTAGATAGATGTCTGTATGCTGTATTCAGATAGGAAAAATTGTATGGACTTACGTAGAATTTATGTATTTGTTTCATAATTGTCTTTCTACTAGCAATCCGTTTTGGACGAATGCCAAGGTCTGAGAAGGCAAAGTTGAAAGCAGAAATTCTAACAGGTGAACAGGATGTGGAAGATTCAGAAATGGCAGATCTTAAATCTCTTGCCAAGGGAATATATGAGGCCTATCTGAAAAACTTCAATATGAACAAGGTCAAAGCCAGAGTCATTCTTGCAGGGAAAACCAATAATAACCCAGTAGGTGTTTTCGCTTTAATTTTATTGTAGAGCTAAAATGTATTGATAGTAATGCAATGATCTGTAGAATTCTTAAATCTTTTAGGGTTACTACTATGTGAGAGACATGAAATATGCGAAAGAAGTATCTGTAGTAAATCTGGTCTTTGATATACAAGATCAATATAATGGGAAACTTTAGAAAACAAAGTTAACTTACAAATGAAAAATCACAATAAACTGCTAGATAATGGAGAGCAGCAAAATAGGCTTGACCACCTCTTGAGTGTCCCCTCATGGCTGGGGTAACCTGCCTCCTATAACATAGGCTCTTCTTTGAGTGGTTGTTCATGTCTGTTCAATATAGGTGTGTGTGTTCACCACATGTACGGGTGCCGGAAGATTTTTTTCTAAGCAAGACCTGTAGGGGCCTGGGTCTCAATGTCATCTGGAGTGGTGACCATATGCTGCAAAGCATAGAGTGCTCCCAGGCCCCTCCCTGCTCAGTTCCTTCTTGTTGCTTGTTAGGAGCAGTATGCTCCAGTCTTGGCTGCACCTTAACTTCCTTTCCAATTGTATTGTAGTATAGTTGTCTCCCTTAGTTAAATAGTTCTACTTAGCACTTCGTTAGTCATCTTTAGGGGCTTAGCTCAGGGACAGGGAATACCCAGGTCTCCTAGCTTTAAAGCCTCCACTGCTTGCCATAAGCCTATGCCATTCAGTGACCCACATGCTGACTGCCTTTGCTGTCTGGGAGAACTCACATCTTGGAGAAGTGCGGTATCTGCAGAGCCTTTTGTCCAAGAACCATAAAGAACTCAGTAATCCTTCTAAATCTGCTGGTCATGGAGTCAGTGCTCGCTCCCCAGTACCAGCATTCAGAATCAGCACCAAGCACCAGTACATCAGTGAGGAGTGCTGCCCCAGTGCCAGCAACATAACTCTGGTCTCTGTCTCTGGTTCCAGCCAAGCAAGCAAGCCGACCAGAGAAGTCCCCAGGCCCTCGAAAGGAAAAGAGAAGAAGGGCTCAGATGGAGAAGGGGTGGCCAACCTGTGGCTCCAAAGCCACATATAGCTCTTCAGAAGTTAATATGCGGCTCCTTTCATAGGCACCAAATCCAGGGCTAGAGCTACAGGTGCCAACTTTCCATTGGGCAAGAGGGTGCTCACTGTTCAACCCCCAGCTCTGCCATGGGCGCTGTCCCTCTCCACGCTTTCCCCTTAGGATCCTACCACTTCCTACCCTCTCCACTGAGCCTGTCATACCTATGCTTCCCCCCCTCCAGTGTCTCCCACTGTGAAAAAGCTGGTCACAGTGGGCAAGAGGAAAAGGAGAAGGAGGCACTTACCGGTGGGGCTGACTGTGGGCGGGATGCGCTGAAAGTGGTGGTGGGGAGATGATCAGGGCTGGTGACGTATAACTGTTGTTCTTTGGCAATGTGCATTGGTAAATTCTGGCTCCTTCTCAGGTTTAGGTTGGCCACCCCTGATATGGAGGATAGGCCTCAGGACAAGGCACTCCAGATCGCACCAGGTTCACCAGCCAAATCACCATCCCCTGTATCAGACGTTCAAGTCCCTTCCATGCTGGAAGCTTTCCAGGCAGCCCAGGGCATTCTAGCCATCCTGGTACTATGGCACCAGTCGGGCCTCGGCATAGAGGGAAGCCACCATTTGCCCCTCAGTTGCCGAGTACTGCATGTTTCACCCTCCCCCACAACCAGAAGGGAGAGCACTCCACAGCCAGGTATGGTCAGTAAGGGACAAACCAGACCAGATGCTAGGTCTTCAGTGTCGGAGTGCAGACTTAGAGGCGCATGCACCCCGGCAACAGTGGCATCAAAGGGAGAGTCAGTCCTCTTATACTCATCACCAGGGCTCGCCGAACCACAGCGAGCCCCGCACGCGCATATCGCCTGAACCCGGCTCTTCCAGTTTACAATCTACTCACCACGAGCGAGTAGATTGTATAATTTGTCGAGCCCTGCTCATCACCACTCAAAGGATGTTTCCCCAGTGCTCATAGTGTTGTAGTTACTCACTGGCGCTAAGCTATAGTAGTTACTCACTGGCGCTAAGCTATATTAGGTATCGCAGCACGACCTATTAGTCCTACTCAACGTCTTGGATATTCACCTTCCCACTGCCGAGTAGGAGAAGGTCGCCTGAGCATCGAGTTTCTCATTGACTTGCCACTCCTCTTGGTCCTTTAGATCAGTTGGTTGCAGAGTTCCGGTACCAGAGAGTGTGCCACATGTTCCCCATGTTGGGCTTCAGTCCTCATTTGCTTGCAGAGCATCTCATCAGACACTGGCTCCATTCCTCTGGCACAGACCTTCATACTGCAAACGATACCACACCAGTTGGTACAATGGGTGCCTTTGCAGGGCACATCATAGCCCCAGACGCAGTGGCAGACCCAGTGGTGCCCATGGACCCACTGAGGATTCCCTGTTCAGCGTCCGGTCACCTGCTCAGCTGCTGGAGTGTCATCAGGTCAGTTCTGTTACTCCTCAGGTGGAGTAGTCAGTAGGTGACCAGCAGGCCTCAGCTGAGAAGGGCCAGTTGGCCTAGGCTTCCTAGTCCTCATTGCTGGATGAGACGATAGTGGCATCCCTACCAATGGTCACACTGGATGCTATGAAAATCCACCAGGACCTCTTAAAAAGGGTTGCAGGCAGTATGGACTTTGAGGCATAAGAGGTACAAGAGACCTCGGACTCCTTGTTTGGGGTTCTGGGACATGCAGTGCCTGCCAGAGTGGCCCTACCACTGCATGAGGGAGTAGCCAAAATAGTTAAGACCCTATGACAGACCCCTGCATCCATCTCCCTGATATCAAAAAGGGCTAAGCAGAAATACTTTGTGCCTGCTAAGGGCTATGAGTACTTCTACACTTATCCACCCCTAATTCCCTGGTTGTGAATTCCATAAGGAATTCCAGGGCCAGCCTGCTCCCACCCCAAAGAATAAAGATGCGAAACGTTTAGTTTTGTTTGGACGTAAGCTTTATTTCTCAGTGAGCTTCCAGCTTAGGATGGTGAACCATCAGACTATCTTTGCCCGCTACAATGTTAGTATGTGGCAGGCAATGACAAAGTTTGAGGCCTTCCTCTAAGAAGGTGCCAGAAAGGAGTTTAAGGCCCTCGTGGAGCTTCTCCCCTCATGTCCCCTTATACTCCTTTTCATTCAAGGTTGCCTTTCTGGTGGCAATTACATCGGCTAGAAGGGTGTCTGAGCTCCATGTGCTAACCTCCGAGCTTCCATACACCTGCCTATTCAATGACAAGATCCAGCTTAGACCTTATCTAGTCTTCCCTCCCTAAGGTAGACTCAGTTTTTCACTTGGGGTAAGATGTTTTCCTGCCAGTCTTCTAACCTAAGCCTCACACACATAACTAGGAGAGGTGTCTTCATCCTCAAGATGTCAGGAGGGCACTGGCTTTCTACTTGGAGAGAACAAGACCTTTCTGCAAATTCCATGCAGCTCTTCGTGGCCTGTGCTGAGCATATGTAGGGTTCACAGATCTCTTTCCAGCGGCTCTCCAAGTGGATCATGTGTTGACAGTAGGGATGTAAGAGTAGTTGATTAAGCCTAGGCTTATCAGGTAGTCAAGTCAACTCTGCACATTTTCCCCTCCACCCTTGCTGCCTCTATCACAGGCAACAAGGGGGCAGAAGTAAGAGCTAGTGCTGAGGGAGCCGGCTTAAAACAGAGGCAGCAGTGCAGAGTGGGGCCAAAGGAGACTGCTCTGGCAGCAACCCCTGTCCGGGGAAGAGGGGTGGAAAGAATCATCCCTGTGGGAAGTTGAGACCACCCACAGACAGGAGCTGCTGCAGTAAAGCAGCCCCTGTCTGCAGCCAGCCTCAGCCGCCTTGAACTGAGGCTGTTCCTCTCAGGGTTCCTGCTGTTCCTCTCAGGCTGCTGGACCCAGCGCGCCCAGCTCTTGCTGCATTTAAACTGCAGAGTCGCAGTGGGGGGTAACTCTTTCTGAGTACCTTCCCTAATCAACTCATTGTGTAGTTGATACAAATTGTATTGACTACATGATTACCCAGTTGTCCGCCTTTTAATATCCTTAGTTGAGAAGGGCTCAGCCTCCCATATTAGTCAGTGCCCACTTGACTAGGGCTTGAGCCCCTTTGTAGGTCTTTCTTGACAATGTCCCAATCCAGGACATCTGCTGTGCAGCAACGTCTCCTTATTCTTTTACGCAGCACACCAGACATGACACTGCGTTTGGCAGAGCATGCCCATAAGCTCCTACCCAGCTCCGTAGATACTGCTTGCAGTCACCTATGTTGAATGGACACAAGCAATCAATGAAAGAAGAAAAGACAGTTACCTTTTTCCATAACTTGTGTTCTTTGAGATGTGTTGCTCAGGTCCATTCAACTTCCCACCCTCCTCCCCTCTGTCGGAGTTTCTGGCAAGAAGAGACTGAGGCAGGAGGAGCCAGGGAGCACCCTATATAACATGTCATATGTGTACCACTCCAGGGGGTGCTGAAACCTGGGCCCCTACAAGTACTACTTAGGGAAAATCTTCCGGCACCAGTGCATGTAGCAAGCACACACACCTATGTCCTACTGGTGCAAGGTTGCCCATTCTCCATCCCCTCTGCTTCAGAGTTCTTAGCCATGGGGCTTCACAATAGAGAAGGAACTGAGCACTATATGGGCAAACTGCCCTGTGTAAGACAGATGCATGGGCCAAACTATGAGAAATCTCCAAACAAAGGCATGTGACACTAGCACACCTAAAGTGGAGTACGCAGAAGGACAAACATCTCAAAGAATCAGAGTTACTGCATGGGGTGAGTAACCATTTTTTTTTTTTTTTTTTTTTTTTGGCACAAGTGAAGTTCATTTTCAGAAATTACAAGATTTTTACCTAGTGACAAGGTATCAATGTTAACTTTGGGTGCCAAGATGGATTTGGCAATTTATCTCACACACACGAATTCAAAGAACAGCCTTTTGTACTGAAAAGGTGTTAAATTCCAGTGGCCCAAAGGATTTTTAAAAAAATAGGCTAAACCTTTTAAATGGTTTAGAAACTAGGGTTTTTTATTGCCCCCCTCCATGAAGGCATGATATTTAGAAATACTGAAATGTTGCAGAATGTAGCTTCCATAAGCAGTTGAAAGATGTACATGTTCCAATCAGATGTCATGGACTCAGAAAAATGTGCTGTTATCAAGGTAGAGATTTAACCTATTCACTCTGTTAAATCTTGAACTCCTTACTCAAGTAAAACTCACTGATTACAAGGAGTCAGTTTTGCCTGAAGGAGAACTAGATAAGGACTTCACCCAATTGTTTACTTAAGTAGATGGAATATAGTTTGATTAACTTAAGGAATCAAATGTATAAAGAGTGTCAACTTCATTGACTTCATGGACCTAGTTTTTCCTTAATGGATACCTTTTTTTTAATTCTTGCTCTACAAAAATATTTTGAGGCTTTGTAGTCTGGTTATCGTTTTCCTGAACTCTGATAACTGTTTAAGAAATTGTAGATTTTAATTAAATTTTTGAAGGAGTCATCTCACTTTGCAGTAGCACAGATTCCTTTATTAAGAGTATCCTTGTTTAATGATAGGTAACAGAGAGGTAGCTATGTTAGTCTGATCTTGGTAAAACAAAAGGGAAAAAAAGGGGAAAAATTATGTATTACTTTAAAGACTAACAAGATAGTTTTAGGTGATGAGCTTTCATGGGGCAGACCCACTTCTTCAGATCATATTCAGAAAGTGAATTTTGTTTTACCTTGTTTAATGAAGAAGGTTCTTGCTTAATACTGAATAGTTTTATTACTTTGTGAGACACTTATTACAGATAATGGTTTTCAGGACAGTAGAATTCTAGCATTAACCTTAAATAGGAATAAGAGTTAGAGCTCTTGCAGATCAGTTGCACAGATGTAATTAAAAATAAATAATCCAATAACAAAGTACAAGGACGGTACAAAAGTTCAATTCCTCTGATACTTGTAAGAGGACTATGTAAATATGTGAAGTGCCAACCTATATTTAAATAACTGAAAGTGTCCATCTTAGTCAAACCATGCAGTCTTTAGTGCTCATATACCTAATATCCCACTGAGGTGAATGAGATCTGTGGCACATCCTGTCAGATGCCTTCTCTTGACTACTAAACATATTGCTGTGAAGGATTCAGCAACTGGATTCCATGTGCTTTAAGCAATCAGAGCCTGAATAGAGTCATCCCAGGAACGCTTTTGCAGTACAGACCCCTTTTCTAGCACTTCCTCCATAGAACAGGCCTTGTAGTCCACCTGCTCAGCCACTGGAAGTGGGGGGATCACTTCTTACCCCTCAAATGTCCCATACTTTAACACACACTATCCCAGAACTGCAACCATGTGGGTGCTTTGGATCAATCGGTTAACACTTTTTTGAAGAGCAGATTAGAGGGGCAGTACATAGCAAACATGCAGATTTTTGCAAAGAATTCTAAGCCACCATTGCTCTTTATTTAACTGCATAAGACACATAGATCTATATTAAAATAAAACATCCATTTTTCTTGTCACTCCAGAGAGTTCATTGGACTGGAGTCAGAATACTCTAGGGATGTCCAAGATCCTCTGATGCAGCTTATGGCTTGACTCCTGATAAGCCTTTCTCTCCCTAAATCAGCTTGCCTTCTCTAATCTTGGCAGATCCCATAGCTTAATTCTCCACCCTCCCATTATGAAAGCATACCTGAACTTTCCTTGTCTCCAACCCAGAACTTATTAGTTTGTTCTGTAAGTGTCTCAAGTTCATATGTTTCTCTTACAGAAGAGCTGGAGGAAATGACTTGTCCTCACTCCAGCCAACCTCCATAACGTACCTATTAACCAGAGTACAGTCTTTAAGGTTAGCTGCTCTGCTCTCTTGGGGCAATGGCTGTCCTATAGTAGTATGGCAGGCTACACTGACAGAAGGAAGTTTTTGATTACTGTAGGAACTCCATTCCCTGAGTAATGGTAGCTAGGCCAACAGAAGTATTCCTTCAGCACAGCTGTGATCACACAAAAAATGAGACTGGTGTAACACTAGTGCTCAACAATGTGGGGTTTTTGTTTGTTTGTTTGTTTTAACACCACTGAGTGCCATAGCTATGTCAATCCAAGCTTTAAATGTAGACCTAGATCTAGGAGCGTTGTGCAGATAAGCTCATCAACAATAGTTATATGCACATAGACAAAGAAACATTCAATGATTCCTAAGAACATTCCTAAGAACAACTTGACAATTTCAACCAGAATGTGTAAGTTGTACAGACAGTTTTCCCCAGTCATCAGAGGATGTGAGCTGCATAAATGCCAAATAAGAAATGCTAGTCTGGTCCTTATCTTTACTAATGTCTGATCAGTGTGGGAATTACATATTCTTCAAAATATTTAGTTTAAATGAACTAACTGGTACCTTTTTCTGTAGCCATTTGTTATACATGACATGGAAACGCTGTGTATGGCAGAGAAGACTCTGGTGGCAAAACTGGTAGCCAATGGAATCCAGAACAAGGAAGCAGAAGTACGAATCTTCCATTGTTGCCAGTGTACATCTGTAGAGACTGTAACAGAACTTACTGAATTTGCCAAATCTATCCCTGGCTTCTCAAATCTTGATTTGAATGATCAGGTGACTCTGTTAAAATACGGCGTTTATGAAGCCATTTTTGCCATGCTAGCTTCTGTCATGAACAAAGATGGGATGCTGGTAGCCTATGGAAATGGATTTATAACTCGGGAGTTCCTGAAAAGCCTAAGAAAGCCATTTTGTGATATTATGGAGCCAAAGTTTGATTTTGCAATGAAATTCAATGCACTGGAGCTGGATGATAGTGACATATCCCTTTTTGTGGCAGCTATCATTTGCTGTGGAGGTAAGAGTTGAATAGATATTCTTTGAAATAATATTTAGGATTTCACTCCTGTCATTTAATAATTAAAAATGGAAATGTATGTTTGTTGCAATTTAGGAAATTATGACAATTCAGTTCTGCCACACACAACTTATGGTTGTCTTATGTTTGCTACAAGACAAATACTCATTAAGGCCTTAATTCTGCAATGTATTGTGCAAGGGTCTGTACGTGTACAACACGTTGTTGGATTAGTTCCCATAGAGTTGGGCATGAAGATATATCTCTAAACTCTGAAACAGGCAGAGAAATGCAACTATGGGATTGATAGTGGAGTTGGCTATTCTGGTTTCTTCTAATCTCATCCTTGGAGGCAGATAAAATTATAGTTTTGATGTGGCTTTCTTTATGCACAGGTGGATCCTCATTGAAATCAAAGGGTTTTATACAGGGATAGCATTCTGCTCAGGCTTATTACATTGCAGGATTGTGACCTTAATTTTAATGTTTATTTAAAAAAAAATAGCATTCCTAAATTTGAGTTAAGATTATGAATGCTTTCTATTTTATAATGCCTAAAGTTGTGCTAGATCAGTGGTTCTCAAGAGTACGTGGAGGTCTTCAACTAGACATTTGCCTAGTTTTACAAAAGGCTACATAAAAAGCACTAGCAAAAAGTCAGTGCAAGCTAAAATTTTATGCAATTATTTCTTTATTCTGCTTTTATATTATACACTGACATGCAATCATAATTTATGTCAGTTGATTTATTTTAGAATTGTATGTTAAAAATGAAAAGGTAAGCAATTTTTCAATAATATTGTGCTGTGACATATTTTAACAATTTTTTTTACATAAGTAGTTAAGTGAGGTGAAACTTGGGGTACACAAGACAAATTAGATTCCTTAATGGGGAACAACCGTGTAGAAAGGCTGAGAACCATTGTGTTAGATGATTCACAGATGACCTCAAACAAATAAAGCAAAAACCTCTATCCAATATTGTTTGCAGTCCAAATGTAATAACTTAGGTGGGAGAGAATGTAACTTTAAAAAAAAAAATGGGGGAGGAAAAATTGTAGGTTGCACTTTAAAACTCCTCACAAACATTTGGAATTGCACAGTAAAAGTGGTCCAAACAACAAACTCTGCCATCCCATCTCTGGATCCTCAACCGCTCATATTAACAGGACAGCCTTTCACCTGTTTTCCCAGCATTCACATGTACTATCCCATACTTAACATACTGTATCAATTCATTCACTACATAGAAGCCACATGCCCAGCCTACATCCTGTCTCTTTTATATTTCATGGAAAGACCAAAAACCTCTGCCCCAACCTGTTACCCATCATCAAGATACCACAGTTTTACCTGATACCCTCTATGTGCACTCCAAGAATACGCCCCTGCCCCCAATCATCATTTACAGTAAGACATAAGGCCCAAGTTATCCTGTGAAAATAATTTACTGCACACAAACTGTGTTAAAAGACTAATATTAAGGTTGTAAAAGCAAGCACTCACAGTTTAGAAAATACTGGAATTAACAGTGCTCCTGTGGATATGTAATATGGAACAATTTTTAATACATGATCAAATAGGTATTTTTTCATGGGACTACTGCCTCATTCAGTGCACAAGATAGTGCTTTGGAGATAAAGTAGGGCTGCCTAGTGAATGAGAGTAGGAGTCCTGCTGTATTTGTTACAGAAGTTTGAAAATGTGAAACGAAGGACAAGAAAGTGAGAGGGGATGGTATCGTGGTTAGGGCAGTTGATTGCTATCCTGAAGAACTGGATTCTGTCCCTGCCCTTTGCCAAAGAGTTCCAATGTGATGCTTGGCAAGTTAAACCATTCTTTTCCCAGGTGGTCCCTAACTGTGCGTACAATGTGCCTCATGTTCTGGGTGCCTGACTTGAAACCATGGGGTCTGATCTTCCAAAAAAACCTGAGCAACTGAAGTAAAAAGAAGCTATGCTTTAAACACATTAATTTTAACTACACTGAAAAATCGGGGCCTATCTGTCTCAAATTTGGACATCTAAAATTAGTGGATACTTTTTACTATATTCTTTGTGTGCCTCAGTTCTCCTCTGTAAAGTGCAGATACTAACTTTCATCTTAGAGGCATTGCAAAAATAAATGTATTAATGATTGTGCAATACTCAGATACTATGTGATGAGTGCCACAAAAAAAGTTCATGGAAAAAGTTAATAATTCTGTCTTCAGAGCAGGGTTTATATAGTGTGCAGTAAATAAGGTCTGAGGCAACATGCTGAGCAACAAGGAGAAAACAAAACAGTAAATACCTGCTCAGTCACCCAGTACACTGAATAACAGAGTTCTATGGATAGGAAGGTGGAAGGAAGGAAATGTGATCATGTAAGTAAAGATGGATGGTATCATAATTAGGCTTGGCAGAATTCTAGTTATATTTAATTTCAACCAATGATACTGTTCCATAGACCACAAACTATGAGAAGAACTGGCAGGTTTTAGGAGAGGACGATCTTGCACAGTAACACTTCAGATCATCGTAGAACAATGCAGTGAATGGCAAGCACCACTTTACATCACCTTCATAGACTTTTTATGAAAGCCTTTGACAGTGTGGACAGGCAGTGCATCTGGACCATAATGCAACATTATGGAGTTCCAGGCAAACTGTTTACCAACATCAAGAAACTGTATGAAGAATACTCCTGCCAAGTCATCCATGATGGAAAATTATCGGAAAAATCCCAGGTCACAACAGGTGTACGCCAAAGCTGCCTTCTTTCTCCATTACTCTTCCTGATTGTCTTAGACTGGGTCACAAAAACAGCATATGCCAACTTAGGAAGGGGACTCCAATGGACTCAGACTAGGAAACTTGAAGATCTAGAGCTTGCAGATGACTTAGCCCTGCTTGCAGATAAATTAGAGCATATGCAAGAGAAGACAGATGCCCTACAGGAAACAGCTGAACAAGTGGGCCTCAAGATTAGTCAAGAGAAGACCAAGTTGATGCGCATTAACAATAGACAGGAAGGTAAAATGACAATCGAAGGAAAAGCAGTGCAAGAGGTTGACCAGTTTGTATACTTGAGGAGTATTATCAGCAAGAATGGGGGAACTGAAGAGGACATCAGTGCAAGAATATGAAAGGCCTTTGCCATACTATGACCAGTCTGGGGTACAAGAGCCATTTCAATAAGAACCAAACTATGCATTTTTACTTCCAATGTGAAATCAATGCTGCTGTACTGCTTGGAGGCATGGTGCATTGTCCAGAGCAACACTAAGAAAATTCAGACATTTGTCAATAAATGCCTTAGAGACAGTCTCCAGCTAAAGAGTTACAGTAGAATGCAAACAAAACCTTGTGGACCAAAACAAATCAGAAACCAATGGAGGCCCAGATTAAGAGAAAATGGCGATGGGCAGGCCACATCCTGCATAAGGACTGTGAGGGATGTATCAAGAGACAAGAGTTAGAATGGAACCCCAAACAAACATGGCGATGAAGCTTCCTGGATGAAGTAAAAGCAGCTGGCTTATGGTGAGATCAAATCAAGAGATGCAAGGATCACAAGAGATGGAGAATCACCATAGAGGCCTTATACTCCATTAGCAGCCCAAAGGACTAACAGAATGATACCGATGTGTAAATTTTTTTTGCCTGATTTTTGTCTCACTAAATTTTCACCATTGTGGGACACTATAGGGAGCAGGGGCAAGCAATAATTTAATGACAGTAGACAGTCAACAATTTAATGGCAGTAGAGTAAAAAACTTAAAGTTTTATAACAGTTAAAATACAAATTGCCAATACTACATGTAAAATAAATATTATATAAATGCTACTATATAAAATAAATATCCTTAAATCAAACTTTTGAGTTTTCAAGTAGTGCTTTTCTTACTCTGACTGCCTGACCATTTGGATTCTTACCAATGGAAACATTTTTTTTTTTTTTTTGTTGATTCGTGTGTATGGTGATCTGCTCTTTCCAAGCCTAATCATAAGTCCCATTCACGTCCTATCCTATCCAATCTGTCTTCACTCCTGAGGTGTCTCCTGGCCCAGCAAGTGATAATCTTGCCCTTCTGGATTCATCATACCGGTCCCAGTCACCTTCTGAACCCATGCCCCAGTTCCTGCCTCCACACTTCTACTAGCTCTTCATTTAATTGGTCTCTCTTCCTCCACCATAGCTTCCAGTTGATGTTAGCAGTTCAAATTTTCCTACCCAGGAGCCATGTCCAATTTCATTATTACCCTTTCTCTCCAACGCACCTTTTCCAAATCTGTTTGCCAGTCCCAGTTGTCCCTATGTACCAAAGCTCCTCATCAGATCTATCTCTCCTTCTCCCATGCCTCTCTCCCATGCCAGTTGTTCTCAGTCCCAGACTCCCTTCACTCCTCCCTGCCCTCTCAGGTTCCTTGCCCTGCCAATCCCAATATTCACCCTCCATCCAAATCCCAATTTTCTTCTTCCCTCCCTAGCTAGCTGGTAGTCCTATTTTCTGCGCACAGTGCAGATTGAGCTCTTCTCACCTCTACATTCAAATCTAGCATCTTCTTCTTCCTTCCTGCTTGGATCCAACTGGAAAGTCCTAGAGAGCACAGACGAGATGGACTCTCACCTCTTACTTCAGGTTAAGAATGTTAAGAGGTGGGAAATCCACTAATCTGTAGTTGATAAGGAAAGGCTGCTGTGGCTCTGCAGTTTAAATATAGTAAGAGCCAGGTTTGCTCAGTCGTGGTTCACTCTGGATTCAGCAGCCCCTGTCCATTGGGCTTCTCAACAGGAAGCTGGGACCCCCTGCAGATACAGGCTGCCGCCACAAAGCAACCTCTGTCTGTAATGGCCTGGGTTAGCCACGGGAAGAGACTGCTCCAGCAGTATTCCCTGTTTGTGGCCAGCCCCGGCTGCTGCAGGCAGAGGTTGTTTCAGCAGCAGCCCGTTTGCGGCCAATCTGGGCTGCCATGGGCAGAAACTGCTTCACAACAGCAGCAACTGTCCACAGGTTCCCCGTCCTCTCCCCCATGTAGGATGGGGGAGGCAGCACCGGCTCCTGCCTCACTGCCCACTTACAGCAAGAGGGGGAGGGGAGTGAGTAGCAAGTAGTCGGCTCGACTGCTTGCTTACATCCCTACTTCAAGTGTCTGAATCAGGCCTGTCCTGCAGGAGCCCAGAGTTGTAACTGAAAGAAAAATTCTACTCAGCCCCAGGTTGAAGTCTGTTCAGTGTGGAAACAATCTTTGGGGACTTTGGCTGCTAAAACCTTATAAAACTAGCAAGCATGTGTGAGCTGCAGTTCCACTCATGTCCCCTCCCCCCCAACAAAGGCTTATTACTTTGTGAAATTAGGGTTAATTTTTATGGTGCTGGCAAATGCACATCATAAGCTTTCTTAACACAAGTTTTCGCTTTGTTTGCCACACTTGAACTCCTTGTTCCACAATACAGATGTGCTATATCTTTTCAAAGAAAAGAATTTTTTAAAATACTACTACTACTACTACTACTACTACTACACCCTGGTACTCCTAGGAGCATAGATCATCTACAAGTCTCCTCCACTTCACACTTGTCTCAAGACAAAATTTCTAGCTGACTCCAGGCATGCCCCAATTGTCATCCTTCTGTCTCAGTAGATCTTCTCCATGTTGTCCGAGGTCTTCCTCTTTTGCATTTTCCTTGTGGGTTCCACGTGAGAGCTTTTAACTGACTATACTGGAAAATGGTTTTCTGAGAATGTGGCCTAACCTCATTGTCCATTCCTTGTTGTGGTGAGATGGCTTGTGTGTCTCAATGACCTGGAGAACTATGCCAGCGGGAGCTATAGCTTCTGGAAGGGTCACCAAAATGGGCAGGTCAAAGCATAGAGACCAGACAAATTTGGATCACCTCTCCCCGAGGTAAAAGGGGTTGGCTTAGGGTTAACAACCCTATCTGTTTAAAAAAAAAAAGTTACAGAAACCTCTACGAAGAAACCTACAACTACTCAAGTCTTGGGAGAACCACAGAGCTGGAAAAGATCTCAGAAGGTCATCAAGTCCAGCCCCCCTGCTCTAGGTAGGACCAATCCCAACTAAATCACCCCAGCCAGGGTTTTGTCAAGACAAGACTTTGTCAAGCTGGGAGGAGTTCACAGTCCGTATGGACTGAGTAATGTTTTTAAATAGACAACATATATTTTTCCCCTAGCCTCATACTTGGAAATGGCAGAAGTTCCAGCCTGAGATGGGCGCGCGCACACAACTGCCTGGAAATTTCAGTCCATATTTTAAAGCTTGTTGAAGTTATAAGCAATTGAAAACAGGATTTGATCATGAGAAGTGTCTTAAGAAGGGTTGTTGCCAGGCCCTTTGATTATTTGGTACTTAACAGGTATTATCATAATGCAATCAGGATTTGTGACTTGTTCTATCACTGTTGTTATATAGTTAAATTACGTTCCTGTTCCAAAGAGCTTACTAAAAACACCCAAATGCTTAATCTTATTCACCCTTCTGATCTGTGTTGAAGATCCCCGATCCTCCAACCTTCATATAGAGACACAAAATCAGATATTGAGCCTGGACAATTCCTCAGCAGTATAGCAGGTGGAGAATTCTGCCTTCAGACAGTCTTGAACAAACATTGCTAAAAGTCACAAAGAATTATTTTTTTATTAATATAGTAACAGTCTATACCAGTATTCCTGAGAGAGTATACCATGGTCATTCAGTTGTATTTCAAAAGTTCTCTTTTGATTTTACTTGGGCCCTGATCCAAGATTGTCGGTGTAATTTGGAAAAATGTCATTGTCTTCAGTGAATTCTGAATCAGAACCTATATGCAAATAGTGTGAACTATGGTATAATTGTATGACATGTACTTTTTTTGTTTGTTTTGAGAACAGATCGTCCTGGTCTTGTAAATGTAGAATACATTGAAAAGATGCAGGAGAGCATTGTGCATGTACTAAAACTTCACTTGCAAAACAACCATCCTGATGACATCTTCCTCTTCCCAAAACTCCTCCAGAAAATGGCTGACCTCCGACAACTTGTCACAGAGCATGCTGAACTTGTTCAGATAATCAAAAAGACTGAATCTGATGCACCCTTGCATCCTTTACTACAAGAAATCTACAGTGATATGTATTAAGGGGTTTTTGTAATTTTTGACAGTGTTTAAAGCCAAGAGCAATATTAATGATAGATGGGAGAAAATTACATTGCACAGTTAATTTCTCTGCTTTAATGCCAGAAAACAAAAAATCTAAAATGTAGATAACTGGAAAGTCACACTTTTTTTGTCGTGGGTTCTTTTAAGTATTTCAGAACTTGCTCATGAATTTCCTCAGAAGAGGCTTTGGTTAATTTGAGATTTGAGGGTTAGCAAGAATTTATATGTATTGAATAAGTAGATGTTTGACAAATCTGAATTTAACTAACAGAGATCTTGATTGATCACAATTATATTCTGTATTGGACTGATCATTGAGCACTAATTTACCAAACAGGGCAAAATGTGTTCAAGATACATGCACTAACTGCCATAGATTATGTACTATTGGTTTCAATACTTTCATGTTCATTATTGAGAGCCAACTAGCACTTTCAATTTTTTCTCAAGGTAGTCAGTCTTAGATGTATCAAGTAGCTGGGTGTAACTGTATATGCACAGGTAAAATATATTTATTTGAAAGAGATTTACTTTGTTGCTGTCTGAATTATGAGAGAAATAGTAGTATACTATTTCTCTAGTAGTATACTAAGTAACTTGAGGATTAGCCTTTTGAAAACTTTTAAAAAGTTAATTAAAGGATTATCGTGGAGTATCTCCCATAATCACTTACCTGCCACTGCGGGGGCCTTGAGCACTCTTGCACTTTGGTCCCTCCTGTTCTTTGCCTATGGCACAAAATAATCTAGTCTTCTGTGGGATGTAATATTTTGGCCTAATTTCCTAGGTGGTGGTATTTCTCCTCGGTGGCGTTGGTATCCTGTGATATACAGGAGGTCAGACTAGTTGATCCAGTGATCCTTTGTGGCCTTAAACTTTGGGCTCTATACAGTACAGAAAAGATCTTAGCAAGATGCTTGTCAAAGTGGGGGAATGCTTTTGCAAAAGTGGTGTAATAAAACCAGAAAAAAATCCCTTTTGGATAAATCTATGGTATATTGTATGCATCTTGGAGACATCTGAATAACTTGAGATGACTTTTTTTATTTTAAAATGCCATTTTGAAGTAGCAGGACTAAGGGAGTTTCCCAGAAGTCTGATTCTTGTCTCAAAGAAGGTGATTTCTAAATTGTCATACTATAGTTTCTATTCAAAAAAATGATTGTGTAAACATGGCACCTTGATTCTTAACAGATCTGCTCCCATATGTGTTCAAAGTCATGCATGTTTACTGTTCTAATAATGTTATTTTACCTTCTTTGCTTATATTATCCCCTCAAAGCCAATCTGGCTGACTGAATGCCTTCTGTTCCTCATTCCGTATTGTCAACAGAGCTATTAAATTCAAAATGCACTATATTCTGCCCTCATTTGCTCTACCACACTGGAGGTATTCGATGCAGCGAGAAATTTGAAGACAGATTGCATAGTTGTTTAAGGAAGAGGGTATGGTTTGGAAAAAATATTTTCATGTAATTGAGGGCAGAATCTGAGCTATACAATACTACTTACTGTTGACGTAAGCAAAACTGGCAGTTAGAACAGTCATGTTTATAGTAAACTGAGTGCATTAATCTAAAAATCATTGAAACATAATAGACATGGAGCGCCACCATACCACTTCTCAGACTGCTGTGTAAGAATGAAAACAATTGCTGGCCATGAGTTTCTTTTGGGAGTAATTAATTTATTTATTAAAGATATTCTCCTTCTGCTTGCTTATCTTTCTTTTTCCTTTTTACCCTGACAGTTTCTCTTATTGATCTTTTTATGGGGTGTCAAAACAAAAGCCACTTTCATAGTAAAACTTTCTGTGGCAGAGAGAGGATCAGTTTTGAGGCCTGCTTTATTGCAGCGTGATGTCAAAGCCTCAATCATAAACCCTCACTAGCTTAGGAGTAAGGCTTGATAAATCCCAGAACACAGGACAGTGAACTGTGTTTTCATCATAGTACATGTTTCTGTTGGAGATTTGTTGATGCAGTCAAAGTTTTGTATATTTGAGCCTTATATATTGTAAAATAATGTGAGATTTTTTTTTCTACTTGCACATTACAAGTGTTTAAAAATGATCTGTCCTTTCATCAGTGTGTGGGGAATCTATTGTAGTTTCTGTGTTTATGGAAATGTCTCATGCATGCACATCTCAAACTGGTGTGTATCTGGGGTGAGGGAGGGATAAAGTAAAGAATGAATGCAAACAAAATGATAGTATATATGCTACCTTTGGCACCCACTATTTTTCTTTTTTCACAACCAGCTGCGGTGAAAAGTATGGCTGCTATACAATTTACCTTTTAAATGTCTAACTAGGTAAAACATGAAAATCTATTATCAGAAAATAGTGGATTGAGAAATTATCTCCTCTTATGTAGTATTGCAGTATACTGTGTGTCTTCAAGAAAAATGAAAGGATTTTAGTAATTGTACTTTCTGCAACTAAAAATGTCTCAGTTGACTTATTTTAGAGCTGCGGGCAATAGTCACCTACCCTTCCCCAGAAGAGACCCACAAAACTGGAATCACTAGTATCCAATATTGACAACTCCAAAAATTCAAAAAATCATGTCAGATGCCAAAAAATCATGAGATTGGTTTAAAAACTGTAAGGTATATAATTAGTATCTTAGTTGGGGTTGTCTTTTAGTTTGAGGTTTTGGATCACATTTTCAAACTACTCCCAGGAATAAAGGCTAGAAGCTTTTAAATCAGGGCTACTCAACTCTGGAAGCCGTGGGGGCCACAATGATACTCACAGCACGTGCCCAGCGCTGCAACTTAAGTGTGGTTGCATATATATGCAAATAGCTTCTTTCACACTGACGGGCATGCATACAAACATTAAGGCAAGACTATTTAACATGCAAGCCCCGCTTAAGTCAGTTCTGCTGATATTAATAAAATGCAATATTTACCCGATTTCTACCCATGCGCCAGCACTTTTAATGAGCAATGACAGTCCAGGAATTTAACTAATAAAATGCATATCAACAGAAGACCGTTATATTGACTGCTTTTTTGTTTTGGCTTCACAACAGTCCAGGAATTTTACTAAAACACACAACCTAAATTGCACCATAAACCCAAACTGCACTGCAGGCTGCATACGAACGAGCCACATGTTGAGTAGCCGTGTTTTAAAGGAAAGTTGATTCTCACCTAATCACTTCTTTCTAGAAGATGGGGCTTTAAATAAAATATCAAATATTGCAAGATTCATAATAAAATCGTAAGAGTTGCCAGTATCTTTTAAACTATTTCAGCTTCCTGTTACTGTTATCTGTCTTTCTAGAAATTTATTTCAGACTTATTCCAGGTTCATAGCATTTCCAGTGCACTGCCCTTGGATGCAAGGGGAGGGGCCTTCACATTTTCATCTAGGGCGCAAGTCTGAACCTCGGTACAGACATTTGAATAAACAAATCCTGCTCAGGTAAGTGTCCACAGGAGTCGGTGACAGTAGCATTCTTTCCTTATTAAGCAGCATCCATTGTATCCACTTTACTCTATGCAGATTAGTCTGATGGAGCCTTATAATCAGTGTCACGCTATGCACTTGCCCATCCCCCACCCTTCTTACCACAAACTACTAGACTGTGCTGCTTTGGAGGAAGCTTGTGTAGAGCAAAGTTCATAGCTGCTCAGAATGCATGCAGTACAGAAAAATCACAGTAATTCTAATGATTTTAAGTTGCCATGTTTCCATTGAAAGTGAGGTAGGATTTGGTCCAGGATAAGTAATTATGACAGTAGATGATGGATTTTTGGCTTTGCTGTTTGAGATAATGTTTTTTTGCCTGAATGGTTGAGCAAGAATCGCATTTTTTTAGAGGGAGAGAGAGACTTCAATGCAATGCTAGAATGGCTTCAGCAGATAGATGGGTATGCATATGGCATTACTACTGTTTATAAAGAATAGATTAATGTATTTGTTCCTTGCAACTCAAACCCTCAGAATGCTTATCCAGTAAGGGGGTGTGATGCAGCTGACTCGATATTAAGTGAATACATTGTTTGACTAATAGAAGTCCCCATAGTTAAGTCTGCCATCAGCCATTACAAATGCCTCCTCTACGAGGAGTCCAACAAGTGAGTGAGTTCTTTGCTGCCTGGCTTTTTGTTTTGTCTATTCTCACTTCATCTTCTGAATGAAACCATCTCACTTTCCTTAAGGGGTCTCAAACTTACAGCCCATGGGCCATCTGCAGCCTAAGCAGTTTCACAATCCATCCTGCCCATGGCTACTGGCACATGAATCCTTATGCCCTTTGACACAGAGGTGTCCATATCCTTCCTCTGAGTCCAGCCCCTGCTTTGCCCACATCCCTCTTCCCACCCCTTCTCTGCTCTCTTCCGTTTCACATTGCACCTCTTTCCTCAAGCCCCTTCTCCCAAGCGGAGGGATTACCGGGAGATCTGGCACTGGGTGGCAGCAGGGGTTGGGGGCCCCCCATTCACCGTGGTGGCCGGCGCTGCAGGGAAGAGGAGCAACCAAGATGGCCTGGGAGATGGTGGCAGAGTAAAGCAAGTTGCGGCATAGCTTCACTTTCCTGTAGCTCCTGCCACTGGGGTGAGTGGACAGGAGGGAGGGCAGCCCCTGCTAGTGGCCCCAGTCTGCCCAGGATCCCGCAGACTAACCTGAGGGGGAGAACCTTGTCCATAGAATGGTTAGGACAGCTGCTGCAGAACACAAAGCTGCTCTAGCCTTGCTGTGCTACCGATGATGGTACAAAGGGTTTCCATGGGAGCTGTGTTAAATCGTCCGGGGAGGTCAGGCAGGGCCAGGGAACGCGTGGGGGAAAGGAGTGGTCAGGCTGGCAAGTGAGGCCAGGAGATGTGTGTGTTTGGGGAGGGGGAGAATGTGCAGAGACCACAACCCTCCAAGAGCTCTGCCAGAGGAGGGTGCCCACAAGACCCCTAGGAGGATTTGAGGACTGGCACTGGCCCTAAGATAAATTGAGTTTGAAACCCCTGCTCTAGATCTTCCTAATGCCTCTTTGTCTGATACTAAGTACAAAAGGTAGAACAGAATTAATGCTGTTTAGTTACATAGCAGCTGTGCACACATTGTTCCAGATGAAGCAGTATGCTGTCTCACTTCTATTTGTATATGCTATGGCTACAAATGTCTCACTGCATCAGCACCCATGCCTATGTACTTTGACACAGCAATAGCACTATCTACTGGTAATCTCTACAGCAGCGGTTTGCATCTGAGTATTTTTTGATGTATGCAGCACCCGCATATATATAATAGTGTGAACAGCACATTTTCTGTGAACCTGATGACAAAGGTAGCAATGATACATATCTAAAGCCTGTTTAGTATTTTAGTTAGGATCTTTCTGTTTGTCAGCAAAGTTCCCGACCTAGAAATCCATTCACCAAACAGCTAAACTTTTTTTTAATGGGAAAAAAAACAGCAGTAGCATTTCAAGACCAGCTAATGTTTTGGATAGTTTCTATAATTACTTTAATTTGTATTGAGTTTTAATGAGCTTCCATTAAAATTAACATTTAAAATACATGTACAGAAAGATACTTGCAAGAGTCACCAAAACTTGAAGATGTTAACAGATCCTGAAATTCTGGGAGATTTCTCTAAGGATGTATTACAGCGATACCTATACCTTCAAAGAATACAAGATACAGAACAATGTCAACTGTAAATTCAACATTAGTTTACAGCACTTTATTTTAGCATAATATTTTTCACAGATATAGATCAGCTACCTCAACAGATTATCACAGTAGACACTAGCAAATAGATTTTCAAGATGGCTGCTTTTGTAATACTTTTGGGAAAGTTTACAGTTTGGGCTAAGTGCTAACAGGTTCCCGAGTAACTTTCATCATGTACAAGAATGTCAAATCATCTGTGCTTTATTATTTTTTTTTAATCAATTGTATACAGGAAAAAGTGCCCTTATTTCAAAGAAAACTGTATTACAGACTTGTTTTGGTGCCTCATTACTCTGACTAGCAAAAGGTTCTAGGGGAATTTGTATAACCTTAATTTTAATTAATTTGGGTATTCTGTTCAAGGCTTTATTCTGATTTCAAAGTGAGTGCATGCAGCGTTCTTTAATAGAAATGGAAGTTATTTATGGATACCAAAATAGTCATTTCAGGAGCCCATCTCTATTTTAAATGCACTAACATTAAAATAAAATACAGGACTATGTAGCACTTTAAAGACTAACAAGATGGTCTATTAGATGATGAGCTTTCGTGGGCCAGACCCACTTCCTCAGATCTAACACTGCTACATTTCTATCACTATTCTAACATTAAAATACTCAATCAGAATGTTTTCATTTACTCAAATTGAATGTTTTGGCATTTAAAAATGTCTTAATTTTCCTGTGCCTTTTGGGTTTCTGGTTCCAACCAGCTGCTAAAGTGTTGAAATGCTTCCAAAGAACTTGTTTGCACTAATTCTGGCCCAAGCAGATTTAGGAAATACCAGCAATTGTTGCAGAGTCCATTCTCATGAGATTTATAGCACAAGTTTACAGACTCAAAGGGTTAAGATAAGCATCTAAACAGGTTTGTTTATCTGAAATCCTAAATCTGTGGAAGTTTTCTCATTGCTAGAATTAGGTCCCGCACTAACCTAACATGTCTTTTCATTTATAATAGATACCTTTTAGGATAAGGAGTCTTGGAGAAGAGTGCAGTGTAGCTGCCTATATTTCTGGTCTTCTTCAGTTTCAGCTTTTTGTTCAGGCCCAGTCTTAGAGCAGGACAAGGCAAGCACGGTGATTGCCTTGGGCCCCTTGCCTTCAGGGCTGTGCACTGTCTAGCACTCGGCTGCTCACTTTCAGTCCTGGCTGGAAGTCATGCAGCACAGCTAATCACAGTGTGTCACTTGGGGCCCTGCAGACTCTTTGGTCTGGGTATAGCTTGTTCCTTAATTTTCAGTCACAAAGCTTCTATCAAAGTGTTTTAAAGGAAAAAAATCAGCAATTATTTAAAAGCACTTATAGCCATTATATTATAAAATAGTATAATTAATTAATTGTTGAGTGTGTCTAAAACTGGTACTTCATTCAAAGACATAATCCTTTACTAAGATGTGTTGAACTGTAAAGCACAGTATGAGTAGGGCCCTACCAAATTCACGACTGTGAAAAAGTGTCATGAGTTGTAAAATCTGGTCTCTCCCTGTGAAATGGGTTTTTTTGTGAGCTTTTACTCTACACTACATGGGGAGAGCAGTTTCTCAAATA